TGTGTGTGTATGAATTTATTATTAAATTACTATTAAAAGTAAATTACTAATAATTAAATTTTAGAACGATTATGAAACTCTAATGCAAATTAAATAAAATTTAATTACTCAATTTACCTTTTTCTTTTAATTAATATATCTGTATATACACATATACGTATTTTCGAGGGTAAATTCAAAACTTATTATATTTTCTTACTTAATTACGTTATGATGATAAATATATATAAAAAAAATTTAATTACATGTAAACAAAATTTGTGATTGAAGGAAAACGAATACTGTGTAATTTTTCTTATTATTACATATTATTTACGTAATATGGCATTCATAGGGCTCCTCAACACTAATAAATAATTTTCATTCTTAAATTTATAAAGAGAATATAAAATAGTCTGTTGTGTCCTTAATACAAAAATTGCAAAAGAACTGTGTGAAATATTGAATATCTTCTGTTTTTCGAGTCGAGTCTATTCAAGGAAAATAATTTTATAAAACCAAAAAATTTTTTCAAGTTTAACTTTTATTTTAAACATTCAAGTTGAAAATCATTTCAGTCAAATTTTGGGAAGTATGGAGTAAAAATTGATGAGCTTGGAAGCCTATACTATACGATCTGAATAGATTTTAAAAAATTTTTGTGATTTATTTAAAATTTCAAAATGATCTTTTATGTTCATAAAATAAAAAATAATATTATTTTCCGAGTAACCTGACATTTCTCTAAAGAAAAGAGAAAACAAAAAAATTTCATAATTCACCTTTGCGTATAAAAGGCACTTTTAAAATTACTTTTTCTCTTATATAAATTAACAACATACAAGCTCAAAATATTGTTATATAGTTTTAACCTACTCATTATAGCTATTTAATTAAAATTGACTCAAAGTTTTACATTATTTTCTTTAATTAATGCAAAAATTAAAAAAATGTTAACGTCATTTAAAGTTCAAAAATATGTGAACTTTTAAAATAATAATGCAAAAAAATGAAATTATCAAAAGAAAAATTAAAATTTTTCTAGATATTTATATATGTACATACATATAACATATGTACATAATTTTTTTTATTTTGAAAAGCAAAACGGATATTACGGAAACATCATTTCATCGGGTATTGTCGTCGTAAAAATTCAATATGTTATGCTAACTGAGGAAACATTTTTAATTTTAATGTGATATTTAAAATTGATTGTTCTATCAGGTATACTTTCATTCGCTGATGATATTTTAGACTGTTAGTAACATATATTTTATTGAACTAATTTAATTATTTATAACAATTAAACTGATCTAAAACAACACGCATTTAAACAGAGCGTAAGAATGTAAATTTTTGTGTTAAATCATAAATACAATAGGCTCACAGTTTTATGAAACTTAACTATACAGGATGTTTCGCATATCGTCACAAATAATTTCAGGAAGGATTCTTTAATAAGTTTCCAGTAAAAAATTTGATTCGGCGGAAATCATACCTGAAATTTTTTGCCACCTTATGCGAAACAGCCTGCATAACTGTAAGTTATACAGGCTGTACTCTATTTAATATTTTATTTTCATAAATGTTTTCAAATTTTAAGTATGTCACATCTTTAAATTGTTGGATTTCTGTTCGACTTTTATTTTTACCACATAATAATATCGATAATATAATAAATAAAATACAAAAATTCACATTAAATCCGGGATTCTTGAAATAGGAATGCAATCACTTTATCATTATTAATTTAAGTGTAAAATGTGGTTAATTTTTTCGAACCTTCATTTCTTTCATAATATGCTCCTTTTTTAAGTAATCGTTTTGAATATATTTACTCTTTTTTTTTCATAATTATTGTTAGCCTTTTGACATTTAATTTTATATAAGGTTTTGATTTTGTTTACATTATAATTTTAAAGTTGATATAGAGAAAGAAAAATTAAAAGAGGTAAAAAATGTCATTTTATTTGTACTATATTTTATATATATATGTATGTATATATAGGGCTTTTAAGTTATATATCTAAACATTATATTCAAGCAAATATATATAAAACTATTGTAAAAGACATTATGTGGTATAATGTGGAGATTTTAAAACAAAAATGAAATTATTTTGCAAATGGGGATTATTTACCAAATTTTTAAAATAAAAACTTAACTAAAAAGTAATTATAAAGGTTACGGTTTAAAAAATTTTGTTATAAATCAAAAAATAAATTACCAGTATAACAATAATAACATTATAATTATATTTTTTTTTCATATATACGTACATACATATTTATACAGTAACGTTTTTGTTTATCATTTTAAGAAAATATAATAATATGTACAAGCAATTTGTAGTTGAGAAGAGATCAATATCGTAAATTATATTCTGAACATTTTAAAATTTAAATTATGACATGACAGTAATGGGGATTCATTTTTTATTTAAATATACATATTTACATATACATATATATCTAATTATTATGTATTTAGATGACTAAATTGAACGTTTTTCCAGATAATTACCTTTTTGCCCGATATTTTTCAATATTATACGTTTATATTAATTTATCTCTTTACATTATATAATTATTAATTTATTATCGTTTACGCTTGCCCGACATATTTCTATATACGAGTATAAACAGGAAACAATTGGAGCGTATATTCAGCTATAATATTATATAGTAGTATAATGAAAATAAACATTAAATTTAGATATTTATATTTAGGCATATTTTCATGCGAAATGTGAGGATTTGGGTCAATTGAAAATTGTAAATTTTATTTTTGTCTTTCCAGTCTGGTTCTCTTGATTACTTCCCGATATGTATACTACTAACGTATACAATGTATTGTAAATATGTTATATTTTTAACTTAATTGCAGGTATACATTAATTATAATCGATAAATATCAGGACATAAATTAAATTGATATGTATATAAAAATTTAAATTAAATTTTCTTAAAATATTTGTTAAAATTTGTTAAAATTGTAAGTTCCATTAAAATAGTTTTACTTGTTCTTGAACCATTTAATGATTTTCATATAAGAATATTTACAAAAATTAAATGTATACTAGAAATTATTGTATAATATTGGGGCTTAATATAAAATATAATTTTCTATTTTAATTTTATTTATTCTATTTTACATTTCAAATTGAACTATTTCTGAATACAAATTTTTAGAGCTTTTTCCTATAGCTATACGTAAAAGTAATTATTTCTGTATATAATTTTACTTATTTTCTCCATTAAAAAATAGCAAACTTATATGTAACAGCTTTACCTTTGCTTCACTTTAATAAGTGTTCTTTGAAAATTATAAAAGTTCATTTAAATTTTACAAATAAAGTTTTTAGAAAATATTACTTTAAATTTTTAAAATTTTCGAAATCTTGTTTTAAATTTTATAATTTACTGTCAGCCGCGAATTTTTATGTAATTACAATATTGTATACATGAAATAAAAATATTCTTCTAATGTTAATACAAGAACATAATAAAAATATTTGCGTTCGTTATCTCAAGGATGAATTATAAGTAAAATAACTATATAATTAAAATTCAACGCTAAAATATTAATTTTATATAATACATAATTTCAAAATTTTTAATATTATTAATAAAATGGCGAAAACATATTAATTATAACAGATTAATATTTGCCTTTAATATTTAAGTAAAATATTTACTTATTTAAATATTTAAAAACAAAAATTTTAATGTCATATTCTACTTAACATTTATTGTTATAAGAGCCGCCAAAGATTCATTTATATTGTTCATTTGTGGCATGTATCATGAGTGACATTATAAATAAACATTTAAAATTTTGATCTGAAGAAATTATAATAGCCTTATTTTTTTTATGTTAACAAGTTGAACGCAAACAGAATTTTTAATATTATAGGTATAATAGTTGTCTTTAATTATTATTTTGTCTTCTACATACATGCATATGCATATGTTTAGTTAAATATGTCAACTAAGCAAATATAATATCTATATAACTATTATAAACAACAAAATTGTAAATAAAATGATTAATGAGCATGAAGATCATATTTTTTTTTTAAATATTCCGCACAAAATTAAACCATTTACAAATAAATTATAATATTTTGATCAATGCTTTTAGGAAGGAAATATTTGTCATAAATTATATTTCGTATTATATAGTTTTGGTTTTAAGATTTGTTTGTCACTTTAACAACAGATGAAAACTTATATTTGTGCGATTTTGAATTATGTATGTAAGTGAAAATTAAAATATTATGTAATGAACGTAATTTTAAATTTCATGAACAAAATATCCGTAAACGAAATAATTTTGTAAATTTTTGATTAAGTAAAAGTTTACTTAACAAGCAATGGTACAATTAATAAACAAAAAAATTAAATGATATGGCTATAGTTGCTAATAAACTACTCTTGGTTGAGGAAAGTAAATTATTCCAGCAATTTTAACTTGATTTTAAGACTACTATGCAATTTTTATATATGAATGTACCCTTGCTTAAAAATTGCAGTTATACTGCATTGCTACATAATTCAGCAATTAAAACTCATAAGCTGAATTTTATATTAATACTGTATTACTGCAATTTTAAAGTTTAGAATATTATTTAACAATTCCGTTTATAAATAAAAATTACTGAATTATGCACTGGTACTGTATTAACGTAATTCCGTTGACGTCAGCCTGGTACTGTATATTCAATACACTTAATAAGAGTAATTTAGTTTTAGTAAAAAACAATTAGTTTATTTTACATAGCACAATCATGTAAAAATAGAACTAACTTCAGTTTGAAATATTTAGCAATTTAATTTAGTAGCTCCAAAATAACAAAAAGTGTATATATATAAAGAACCATGGAATCCAAATAACTATGTTATTTTCCTTGTAATTAGAACTTAATGAATTGGTCAAGATGCTTGGGATAAATATAATATAATACGATATAAATAAATATATATATATATGAAATATAAATTATTATATTACAATACCTGTTCAATTGCCTCGTTTAAAGGCTTTCCAGCAGCCTGAGCTAAAGCAATTGGTAATTCAGCATTTTGAATAAGAGGTATTGAATTATTTTGTTGAATTAGTTGTTGCTGCTGCTGTTGTTGTTGTTGAATATCCAGTGGAGTATTATTATTATTATTATTAAGTAAATTATTATTTATATTATTATTAATAACAGTATTATTATTATTAATATTATTATTATTATTATTATTATTATTATTATTATTATTATTATTACTATTATTGTTATTATTATTAACTAAAATTGGTGTAGATTCAATTGCATTTGATGGTACTATTATTGGGGTTGATGATAATGTTGTAGTTGTTGTTGTAGCTGTTGTTGAATTAGTTGTTTGATTTCCTCCTGTTGATGATTGTTGTGATATTGATCTTTCAAGACCAGGACGTCCAGTTGGACGAATTAAATATTGTTTAACACCGACAATCTAAAATAATAACAAAAAAAATTTTTTTTTTTTTAATATTTTTTCTTTTTATGTATATTAAGCTGAGTTGTAATATTTAATAAGATTTCTTTTGAATTTTTGAAAGAAATATGTAATTTATTTATAATAAATTTAATATTTTTATTTAATTTTTATATTAGAAAAGTATTTAATAAAATTAATTAAAATTGTGAATTATTAACAATTTTTTTTTGAATTTTTCAATGAATTTTAGGTAATAAAAATAATCTTGATATACTCTAATTTTCATTATTATTTCACATAATTTACTTTTAACCTTATATACTTATTAATAGAAAGGAAATTTTGTTTTCCTGTTGCTGAAAAATAAAATTTATTACCGTATATCCTGTGTTAATTATTAAAATTACAAATAAAAAATAAAGCAATTTCTATTAAAAAATTATTTATTGTAAAAATTATAACTAGTTTGAATTATTAAATGAATTTCCGAACCAGTTAAAAGAAAGCATATTTATTGCAAAACTTGAATAAATTCTTTGAAATTATTTTTTCATGACAGTGCGGCTTGCGACACAATAAATTAAAAATCACTTCTTTATTTTCACTCTTATACTATATTGTTATCGTATATTGTGAATAATGAAAGAAATGTGAATTATTGTCAATATTCTTTGTTTTTTTTCAAATATTTGAAAGTTTATAATATTGGAATTTGGTTTATTTAAAGTAATCAAAATTTTTTGAATTTAAAATTTTTTAGTTTTTCTTTCAATTTTTATAACACTAAACTTATGAGGACATTTTGTCTTAAACGCATACTCAAATTCAAACAAAATAAAAAATTTTAAATTTAATATTAATAATGCGGCAATAACTCTTAAATAATTGAGAATAATTTTCGATTTTCTTTCATTATTAATAAAAAATAAAATTCGATTTAATAAAAATATATTAATTATGAAAGTAGTATATTTTTCAAATATGAGGTTAGGAGAGTATAGTTGTGAGAAATCATAGCATTTCTTTACATGTAAATTACGATAAGTTTTATAGGATGGTAAGGTTTTCTAGTATTCTAAGATATTTTTGTTTTACTTATTTATTATGATGCAATTTATATATTTAGGCCTTTTACGAGTAAATACCACAGGCAAGTAGATTAAATTAAATATTTTATAATTTCATTGATTTTCATGATACAAATTTATCGTTTGCAATCAACAAGCATAAGATTAACTTGTTTCAGAACTAATTAGTAATTAATTAAAAATAATTTTTCCTACCATGTAGTTTCAATTATAATTTTTTTGTTATTAAAATTAATGCACTTTGTATTAAAAATACGAAAGATTGCCGTCTATCAATCAAAAATTCTTTTCTGTCAATCAAAAATTTCTGTCCACTATACAAGATTTTAAAAACTAGTGAAGTAAGTTGCTAACATTGTATATTCTTTTCCATTACAATTTTATTACTTATTTTCTTTACACTTTGTATATTTTCTTAATTGAGCATCCGTTAAATAAAATGATGACGGAAAGTTAATTATATTATAAATTAAGAAAAAAAAATTATTAATTTGGTTAACACAGATGAATATTTTTAGCACATTACTTTTAACTTCATGCAACATTTATATTTTCATAAAAAAAAGAACTGTAAATGGAAATCTAATATAATAAAAATTTTCACAATATAAATATGAGTAAATTCTTATTTAATTAAATTTGCATATTAAAATATTACAATTTCTTATTAAATATATTTTTTAAAAATTATATAATGTTAGCAATAATTATTACTAATATTTATTAAAATATTTGAAAAAATTGTTATGCACCTAATTGTGTATACTATCTATTAAAATCTTAACTGAGGTTTTTTATTTTATTTTAAAATGGTATACAGTAAAACTACTTATAGGCAGAAAGATCGAAATTTTGTTAAATTCTATACACATTTTTCATCTCCTACGTATTTATAAAAAAAAATCCTTCTATTTTTTACATTGTATTAATATTATTATTGATATTAAAAATAATCAAAGGCAATTAAATTGTTGAATTTAACACACATACAATTTAATTTTATAACATAATGGTAGCAATATTTTTTATATTGATATTTTCTAATATTTTCTTAACATTCTTTGAAGAGTTGCCGTTTTGACATAATGTGGGAGAAATATCAATATTTATATATGAAAAATGCATGCAATCCCTGTTCAATATATCCATTAAGCATAGCTTTAAAAATGCATGCCGGTTGTATTTTAAGTTGTAAAAAATTAAACATTGATGCAATATGAATTCAGCTGTATGCAAGTATCATTTGTTTTATATTAATACCGTCACAGTAAAAAATGCAATCAATGTTGAAGAGTAAAAACTTTGAAAGTGTCATACAATAATTAATATTGGAGTAAAAATACTCTGTAAAAAATTTGCGATTGAACAAACTATCTTTCTCTTTACAGCAATAATCTAAAATTCTGAAGAGAATAAAAATTAAAAAAAAAATATAACACTTAATTCTGTGTAGATTAAATTCCTTTTTTTTTCTAATCCAAGTTCTATATTTAATTATACACATAGAATATGTAAAAATAAATCAAATGGACGTGTAATCAACCCATATATAAAATAATAATAGCGGCTATCAAAGTAATTTAAAATTTATTACTATTGTACTATCATAAAATCATCTTTCAAAATATATGTATATGTGCTACTAAATAAAATTATCTATATTTGACTATACGATATGATCATAAAATATTTATATATATTTCTCTCAGGATATTAAAGTAATAATGTTGCATAGCCTTGTTGTTATAGTATAGCTGTCAGATATCTTAATATTTCCCAATGTGTACATTACGTTCAATATATAAGTATTGTAATTTGCAGTTCATTTTGTATAATACCATTTTATTTTTATGTTGTAATGATTTTTATTTTTATGGTGCATTTTACATTGACATTGTATAAAAAACTTTTTTATTAAAAAATATTTGTTCAGTAATAGAATTTTTATTAATTTAAAAAATGCAGTAGTGAAAAAAAAATAAATAAAGAAGTATTCAGCAGTAACAGCAGCAGCAGCAGTTGCAGCTGCTGTTACAATTTTAAAATAAGATCATTGTTAATGAAATTGAATTTAAAAGTATAAAAATAATCAAGATTATTATTTTTCATTCCATATTATAAAATATGCACATTATGATATTAGAAAGTTACATATATATGTATATATTAGTATATATAGATAAAGTAATAACTATAATATCCTGCGATTAAAAATTGGAATGAAAATTCTTGCAATATTCAAGTTTTGCAGTAAATAATAATAAGTGAGTAGTTTATTTATTTTACAAATAATGTTTTAGCAACAATTTTTTTTTTGTGGTCTTATGATTAAAAATTATAGTATTATCTTGACTATATAAGATATGACAATGTATATTTAAAATTTTTTTATAAGATTAAAAATGAGTTCATATTGTAATATTATACGAGCATATTATGTATATAGATAAAAAAGAAAATTTTAATTTATTTGATAATCAATATGAAAAATATTCACATAATATAGGAAAATAGGCTTTTCTTTGAATGATTAGTAAGTATAAAATTCTCACACTATACATATCTACATGCATGTAATGTAGTAAAAGTAAATTTTATATAAAATATCTTAAAATCTTGATATAATCTCCATATTATATCCAGGATGCGTTACTATATTATTTACAGCAATCAATGAACAGAAATTTCATGAGAACAAAGCTGTAAGTCTTTTATTAAATTAAAATATGTATACCTACATTATGCAAATAACATTTGTGTCATTAGTCATTATTATAATTATACGACGCATAGAAAGTAAAACTATGCAAAACATATATGTGTATGTTGTTGATCATATGAAAATTGTATTAAAGATGTATATCAACATGATTTTTGGAAAATCCATAAAGTTTAGCAAGAAAAAAATATTTTCGATTAATAGAAAATTAAATGTTAAAAAAAATGGTCTTTAGATTTAAATTAAAACGTTAAAACGGAGTACTCAAAATTTATTATACGCCGATTATGTACAATATTTTTGAGTATTGAAGCCACTGCTTTTATAAAAATTTCGGAAGATGTTGATGATAATTAATTAAAATATGAGTAAAAAAAGTTGATAATTTAATTCAATAAAATTAATCGTTACCTTAAATCTTTTTTTTTTATTTTTTTAATCTCTAATTTTCAAAAGATGATAATGGTAGAAGTCTAAATTTTATTATTTTGTAAAAATTACAAAACAGATGTCTTTCTTAAAGGGTGACTTTTCTAGTTGTCCTTTTCGACTGCTTATGTATGTATATATATATGTATATATTTCTAAAACCACGATCTTTTTCGAATTTTTGTGCAAATAAACGACTAATGATACAGGACTTGCTATCAAAAAAATGTAATTATTTGTCTTAATTCGCCTAATTATCGATCATTAAATTAATATTTAATCTTTGATTTTTTTTTCCTCCGCGAAGTATGCAATTTTAAGATTTTATTCAAAAAATTTATTTTGGTATATTTCTTCCATATTCTCATTTATTCCATAAATGACAATAATTAAAGAGAAGGAGATCGTTTTTTTTTTTAAGTGGAAAAAGTATTTCCACTTGGCCAAGGGAAAAGTACTACTACTCTATACAAAATATTATAGTTTGATTAGAATTTATTTAATTTTCACTTAAATTTGAATGATTCATAAACAAATATCTTATACTTACCTGTATGTGGATGCTTTTAATATTAATTTATATGTACTTTCACATTGTGTAATAACATACATATTATGCGATCATTAAAATATTTACTACTCTAATACCTATATGCATACTTGTATATGTACATATTTAGCATAAATATAGCAAATATTTCTTAAAGATCATGTTATAAAATATTTATTTTTTTAATTAAATCAAACGAAATACTAAATTAAAAATTTATTATATTATG